AATTCCTCTTAAACTGGACTACTTTGAAACTCCCACAGGCAAACAAGCCCACTGCTAGTACTTTGACAAGCAACTTGCAACAATTACTACAACTATCAGGTAAAGAAACACTGCTAGGAAATGAAGAGATCCCCGTAAAGTTTTCCACAATTCCTTCATTTTCATACAAAAAAGAAAAAAGGACAAGAAATAGAATAGCAAGCTTTCCTTTAATTAAAAAGATCTGAGTCTGAGCCACTTCTTGTTTTGGCATGTTCAATCCTGCAAACTTTTATGCACAGGAGTTCCCTTCACTTAATGAGATTACTCATAGTGTGAAGTTGAAGAACACATGTTTAAGTGCTTACACCCCTGTAACACTTTCCAGACTGCTTCAGGTATCCAACCACTGATGTGGCAGTACTACTTCCTTTCTCTTATCCTCCACCTTCCCTCCAAATTCTTCACATGGGCAAATACAGCATCCCAGCACAACTGATCCTCACTAGAATCACTGCATACAGTCACAGATAACACTACCAATGTAAATGTTAGATGGAATTCCAATATATACATACAAACATATAACGAGAAACTCCTCAGAAATTAGTCTCTCTTAATAATTTTGTCCAAAGCCAAATCACATCTACAAACACAGAAACAATATATTAAACAAGCCTAATTATAATCAAGAATTTGTAATTTCACCACTGGTAAACTGCAGTTATTTACCTGCTATAGCCACAAGCAGTAAAAGCTATGCTACTTTAAGTTGGTTAACAAAGTCCACATAGTTTTATGTGGTAGTGGCAAAAACTGCATCAGGTTGTTTGTTTTTTTTTTTTTTTATTTTATAATTAATGGTATCCCAGCCTCAAAGTCCTCAAAGTCAGGAGAAAAAAAGATTTTCTAGTTTTGCAAGCTACTTAGTTATTTGTAGTATATAGCACGCTCAATTTGCACTTTACACATGAGAAGTTAAAGATTAAAGATTCTCTCATTTTTTACGACATCAACTAAGCATGCTTAGATGGTGTTCCTTCCCTAAAGCTTTGGTAAAGTTGCTAATCGCAGAATTTTTAATAAATCACGGTATGCCTAACTCTTGAGACAGGAGTCTCTTACTAGTCGAAGACTCAGTCCAAGAAATAATATATCCATTATTAAGGCAGTCTGGGGCACAGTGATTATGTCATAAGAAGTGGGCTAAATCCTATATCCATTACAGTGTTTTTTTCCAGACCTATGTGCTATCTCCTCCATACTGTGGAGATGCTTTAAGCCTGAACTGCAGAAAAAACAAACAAAAAGTCAATAAAAAGGCAAAAAAGTAACCAGCAGTTGCTGAAGTTATGCATTCTGAACTCAAAGAATTGTGCTAGCACATTTCCCAAAACTTTTAACTGTGAACAAGTATAACTGTCTCAACTAGACATTAAGCAAACTGTCAAATCCTTTTCACTTTTCTATACATTTGGTTCCAGTAATTAACAGCATATCAACTTTCCTCTTGAAGGGGAAGAAGTGCAAGATAAAAATGCAAGTGACAGTTTTCAATAATTAAAAATAATCCAAATAGCCTTTTTAAGGAAAACACAGTTGTAAAAGAATAAAGGAACCTATCACAACAGCCTTGAAAAACCACAGACAAACAGTGTAACTTTTATCTTTTAGACACATACCTTTATTTTTGCCTCATCTGGTCCTTTGCTAGAATCTGCCACCTTGGTCCCCTGTTTTTCCCTCTGCCTGTATGTCTTCATGACTCCACATAAAAAGGCACTTTTGTTCTGCAAAAGATAGATTAATCTTCAGTTCTCAAAACATGACAAGCCAGAAATTAATTTTACCTTGAACTAACACAGTGCTTGTTTTACATATCATACACTGATCACTGAAGTGACTTAAACAAACTTCTTGCCAGTCAACTTGCAGTTTAACCCTCAACAATTGTATTCTAGATTGCTTTACATTACCTGAACGTGTGAGAGATCACTGTCTTTAAACTGCTGAAGCACTGCCAATGCACCTTCTTCATTAAATTCCTTTAAAGCTTCAATAGCTCTTTCATCTAGATCACTATGTGCAACTAGCCCTAGAGAAAAGGGGGGAAAAAAGATTATATTTGGGTATCAATCTTAGTTTAACCAGATTTAACACATCTATCACGTTTCAGTGACCCTTACTTCAATCACTGATTAATATGTTACTATAAGAAATCACTAGATTCCTATTAATGGTAAATATTTAAGTGTATTTAACCTTTTTTTTTAGTCAAAAAGTGTCCAAAAAAAAAATTAAGATTCAGAGTAACAGTTACTACATTTACGTATTCATTTGACTTCTATGAAACCCAGATGTTACACGGGCCAAGTTTATTTTCAATATCCTGAAGCTGAATCCAGAAGAATCTATCAAAACCTGACTTAGCTTGCCTAGTAATAGTACCCTGATACATTCTGACAAAGCTTTTATAGAGACAAATAAACTGCAGCACTCAAAGCGACTACCACAATGCAAAAGTCAAGGTTACAAAATTCTAGCTATTACCACGTCTGAGAGAACCAATACAATAACCTTTGCATCCATGAGCCCAAATACTATGTCACGAATTATCATATACATGAAGAGATGAATACAAAGGCTTCAGTTACTTGCAGTTACCTACAACTACTGTAAAAAATGCACCACGACCATATCACCTACTCCTAAAAATCATCTGCTGCCCCTTACAGCCACTGCTATGGTCACCTGCATACTTCTTCAAATCCCTCAGTCCAAGTGGCCTGGCCCAAGACTCTTCTCTGAAAAATGCTATGACAAATTAAAGCACTGAGTGGAACACATTCACAGATTTTGGTAAAACTGGAGTTCCCATACTTTTGGAAACCATAAAAAGTTGCTATTTTAGCCTAAAGACAGCAAAGTCCAATAAAATACTGTACATGTGGGTTTGCAAGTTTTACATCTTACCTGCAACGTAAATTTCATCTAGTTTTTCAGCAACTTTCTGTGGTAAACCAGCATCAAGCAATGTCTGGAAATGCTCAGAATGGGTAATTGCAGCAGAAGTATCCATGGGCTCTTCCGTACCATTCCCATTAACATGTTCAGTAGCCATGTTTCCAGATATCTGTTCAAATGCAATAAGCATCATAATTAAGCTACAAATATCTTCAGATAGAATAATTCAAGTGACAATACATGCAAAAGACTGCCCTATTCTTGGCAGAAGGAGGGAACAAAAAACCAAACCCCACAATCCACCAAACAAAAACAAACCCAACAAAAACGAACAAAAAAAAAGAGTAGACCACTTCCCTAATACTTTTTAGCTTTGGAGGACATACAAAAATCCTCAAAAGAAGCACTAACACAAAGGAAGCCCTAACACCACTGACTAGCGGGGGTGGGGTAGCTTTCACTGCAGGTTTTACACAACCTAGCCAGACACTCTGACTCACCTCCCTCTGTCTCTCTAACACACTCCCTAAGAGGCTCTGAATAAGTTAGAAAAGGAGCAAGAAGCCAATGGCGGGGGAGGGAGGAAGAGCAAACCTGCCACATGCAGCCGCCGCTACCGCGATACCGTCACTGACACCCGCTACTGCCTCCACCTCCCGCTGCAAACTCGCTGCCCGCCGGAGAGAACCGCCTCTCCAGGGCCGAGGCGCGACCGGGATCCCTTCCCGCCTCCACTCCGGTGTCAGCCGGGCAAGCGAGAGGAACAAAGCGCTCTTCCTAGTCCGCACCCACCCACGGTGGCGGCAGCAGCGGCAGCCGCCATGAGCCCGATGGAAACACGTGCTCTGCGCGTTCAGATGTCCTACAACTTCCTCCAGTGACCGACTTCCCCCCCTCCCCGCCACACTCCTGCAGGAGGAGCAGCTCCCCCCCACCCCAAGCCTCAGCCATTCCCCACCTCTCACCCTATTCCCCCCGGAGGGCGGTTGCAACACCCCGGGCCCTATTTCACCAACTCGGCCGGGAGCTCGCGTGGCCTCAGGGCTCCGCCGCCACCCCCCCACCCCCCAGCCACACTTCTCCCCGAAACAATGCAGGGGCCCGCCGCCAGCCCCGTCTCCCTGTGGGGAAACGCCGCTGCCCGCCGCCCACCGCCTCACGACGTGACTGGGGACACGGGAGACCCGAGCGACCCCTCTTCCCTTCGCACATGCCGGTCATCGAGGTCGCGGGTCCTCCGGCCCGGCCCGGCCCAGCCCAGCCCCTCACGGGCAATGAATGGAGTAGCGGAGCCGGCAGGACAATGAAGAGAGAGCCACGCGCCCCAAGCGAGGACGGCCCGGGTACCCCCAGCCGCCGCCGCCTCCCCAGCGCCGGCCAGCTGCCGGGCCTAGTGCGCGGGCACCGGCCCAGGCCGGCCGGCCGCCCCCCACCCGACAACGGCGGCCACGAAGGCAGCCAGCTCCTCCACCCATCACGCAACGCCTGGCAGCCGGGCCCCGGCCCGACAACAGCTGCAGGGCCCCAGCGTGTGCCTCCCGCCCCGCCCGCCAGCTCCCCTCCACCGCCTCAATCCTTCACAGTCGCCCAGCGCGGCCCTGCCCCGGCCCGCTCCCACCCCGCTCCGCGGGCGGCTGCTGCCGCTCCGAGCCGAGGCGAGCCCGATCCCGCCTGCTTGCCTGCCGGCGCCCGGGCCTGACCTGTCGCTGCGGGGGCGAAACGCCGTGCGAAGGGGCTCGGGGCGCGGCTAGCGGCTCGGCGTGCTGAGGAGCTGCCCCCCTTCTCCGCTCCCTCGGTGTGTCCGGACAGTGTGCTGGAGCTGGCGTAAAATGGCGGCCGCTCGAGCGCTCACGCCGCTGCTGGCACCAGCCCCAGCCCCTTCCACTCGGCTCGGGAAGGGGGGGGGTGGGGGGGTGACGGGGGGGGAGTAGAGGAGGAGGCGCCGCGCGCGCTGGCGCAGCCCCAAACCCGGGGTCTCCCAGGCAGCTCCGCAAGGGTTATCGCCTCGCCCCGCCCGCCGGGCCGCGCGCGCCCGCCACGCCCCTCCCTCCCGTCCCTCACGCGCTCTCCGCGTTCCTTGCGGAGCGGCGCGCACCGCCCTCGGCCCGCCCGGGGTGGAGCGTCAGGCGGCAGGGGCGCGCGCAGGGGGCGCGCTGCCGAAGGGAGGGGTGGCGGCGGCGGCGGGACGGGCCCCGGGCGGGGAGGGACGAGGACGGGGCTCCGCGGCACCGCCCGTGCACCTGTGCGCGGACACCGGCGGCGGAGCGACTTGGCGGGGATTGGGTTGAGCGGCCGTTCCCACGGCCCGCGGGTGGCGCGCAGGGCAGCGCCGCGGCCCGGGAGCCCGGGCCCGCAACGGGGGGACGGAGACAAAGCCACGCAGACAAAGGGAGGGGAGAGCGGCTCTTTGTGTGGCTGCCGGCCAGCCGCCGCAGCCGCGCTCGGAGGTCCCGCGTCGGAGACGGGAGGCGCGTCCCGTCCTGAGCTCGCTGCTCCTTCAGGTGGGCTGCCCGCACCGGCCGCCCCTCCGTAGCCCCAAGGGGAACAGCAGTTCTCAGTCGCGATGCGGCGGATCCAGTGAAGCGGCGGCGTGGTCCCCGGGCGGCAGGGCGGGGAGAAGTTGGCGGCAGCAGCATGGGCGCTGGTGTCGCGCAGCCCGGCCGAAACTCCACAGCGCGGCCGGAGGAGCGGGGCCTGGTGCCGCACAGCCACCCTGTGAGGGTCCGCTGATGAGTGAGCCTCCCCGTGCTGGCTCCAGAAGGCGGGTCTGACCACGCAGCATCGCCAGACTCGGGTCCCTTGCACGGTTCGGAATTCCAGTTCCTAACGTGTCTCGCTTGCGCACCCCACATGAGAAACTTGGCAACCAACCCACTAAGCTCTGTCAGACCTGTAACTCCAGATAAAGACAGCGAAACGAAGGCAGGAAGGCACACGGCATTACTCACTTCCTCAAAGGCATCTCGGCGACAAGCTAACCAACTACTGCTACCCTTCAGACCTGCCAAACGCCTTCGGCAGATCGCCAATGTTTAAAAAACACTTAAAACCTGCACAGTGGAGCAAGCACAGACAATTACAGGGTTAGTTCGCAGTCAGCAAATAACTCACATGCTGGTGAGAATGTGAAACAACCAACTGGCATTCAGTGAGACAAGAAAAATCTCTTCAAGCGCTTGACACTAGGACTTCATTAAAAGCTCAACCATGGCACAGGTTAGTTTGCAGTAGCAACAAATACGAGGCACCTGCAATATCACATACTCCATGTGATTTATCTGATGTTTTTAATCAAACTTCTCCCTCATGTTTAAGAAAAATGAAAAATTCTGGGGAAAAAGTAAAATAACCTTTTTTTTTTTTAGTGCAAACTTGGGGGTTTAATCATATTCTCTATTAAAATGTGGATAATTTTCTCCGTTCAGTAGCTTTCTCAAAAAATACAGCTATCAGCTGGGCAATGAGAGTAAAATCCTCAAAAACAAATTTGAGGAGCACTTTCAAGTGTAAAGTACTGCACCAGACCATGCTATTTTCAGACATTTACAAACAGTGTTTCAGTGAGGTGTTCACAATACAGGTGTGAGCCAGAGTAGTATCTGAATTTCATAAATGGCTTTGTTCTCTGGAACTAATGAAAACAGTGACAAATGTTTCACTAAATTCACGACCAGCTGATCTGACCAACTACAGGTGGCATATCCCTGAGAAAGCAATTCCTGCTTTCAGGCCCATTTTTAGGCAGAAACATTTTAATGCACTTTCCTTTTCTTCCATAAAATTGAAGTAAAAACGATAAAAAGACTAGGATAAATGCAGCACTACATTTGCACCCTTATTTAAAATCACCGCTGACCCAGAGTCAGAGTAGCAGTTATTTAATCCTTTGAAATTTGATGTAGAAAGGAGGAAGCAGAGTCTGACATGCAGGTCCCCTAAATATAACTCAGTTATTAACTCTAGGACCAGTAGGACAAAAGACAAAAATGTTATTCCAACTCCCTGCCATGGGCAGAGACACCTCACACTAAACCATGTCACCCAAGGCTCTGTCCAACCTGGCCTTGAACACCGCCAGGAATGGAGCATTCACCACTTCTTTGGGCAACCCATCCCAGTGCCTCACCACCCTCACAGTAAAAAACTTATTTATACCTGAACTGAAATATATATATTTATACCTGAACTTCCCCTGTTTAAGTTTTAACCCGTTCCCCCTTGTCCTGTCACTACAGTCCCTGATGAAGAGTACTTCCCCAGCATCCTTATAGGCCCCCTTCAGATACCGGAAGGTTGCTATGAGGTCTCCACACAGACTTCTCTTCTCCAGGCTGAACAGCCCCAACTTTCTCAGCCTGTCTAAAATCTAGGAGGGGCAACAGGAATTTTATCTTCAGTTTCTATGATGTCTTTCCCAAGTGCTCACGCATTGGGAATTGTGGATCAGCTGCAAAGTTTGCTGTACCTGAGCTATGAAACCCACCAGCTACAGTGTTAGAGAGGCAGATCACTCTGGTTGCCTACAAATATCGCTGCAGTATCAGAACAAACCCCTTGTGCCATGTCTGCCACAGCACAATTCGGAAATGATTCAGCCACTCCTGGAGCCTCTCAGGAACGGGTTTTCCAAACCATTCCTAGCTCCTAGCCTCCTTTGTAAAACTGCCAAGTTATTAATATATCTGTATGAGAATATCTAACTTAGGAAAGGACTGCAATCTGCAGTTTATTCCATGTACTGCACAGCTAGCCACTGGCCTATTTGCCCTGTGAGATCCTTCGTAAAATAAGACTACTTGGGGAAAGAGATTAAGTAAGATTGTTTAATTTGTTCATTCTATCAGTCAGCGGCTCTGTGTCTTAAAAGATGGGTTGAGTTACAAAATACAAGGCCTGTGCCTATGAAGACAAAAATACAAGTCAGAAATTGACCAAAGGGAGATGAATCAGATATATGAAATTTTCTTCTGGAGAAAGCTTTTCACATATGACTGAATGGCTCAGTCTTACATTTTAATATGCAGATTTGAGAGCTCTTCCATTCTAAAAAGTAACTGACAATCTAAAATTACCACATGATTTCAGCAAAGAAAGACTGAACTGCAGTAATGGTAATACTTTCTTACAACATTCTTTCCAGTTACACCCTTTGTGCATCTTCTCACATTGCCAAAAGTAGCCTTAATTAAAATCAAGGTTATTCCCCCGTTTATTCAAACTGTTTCTAAGGCTCTAACCTTGACCCTGATAACTCTTTGAACATTTAACTTCCAACTACTTCAGGAAAACAAAGGCAGCAAAGAAAGTACTTGCATATCCAGTATGGTTTACAGGACCAGAGGCTGTGGGCACAAACTGCAGCAAGGGAGGTTCCCTCTGAACATCAGAAAGTACCTCTTCACTCTGAAGGTGACTGAGCACAGGTTGCCCCAAGAGGTTGTGGAGTCTCCATCCTTGGAGATGTTCAAAAACCATCTGGGCATGGTCCTGGGCAAACAGCTCGAAATGGCCTTGCTTGAGCAAAGGGATGGATTCTGTGCTATGGTTAATTATCCTGATCTTTACAAATACAGCTCTATCCACTGACTAATTGATGCTTCTTTCTTGAAATTTGGAAAGACTTACCCTACCATCCCAATCCAGAACTACTATTTAATTCTTCTAGTTTTGCAGGACAGATGAGGAGCCTGCTCATATAGACTCGACACCATGTATTTTGGGGCTTTTGAAGTTGAAGTAACTTACATTCTGCTAAATATTTGCCCACATAGTCACAGGTGGAGAACAAGCCTGGCAATAAGGAGGAATGAGGCTCTTCCAGGGATTCTTTTGGTATCGAATTTTACACAGACGGACCAAATCACCGAATGGCCTGGGTTGGAAGAGACCTTAAAACTCATGCAGTTCCAACCCCCTGCCATGGGCAGGACACCTTCCACTGGAACCTGACCTTGAACACTGCCAGGGATGGGGCAACCACACCTTCTCTGGGCAACCTTTGCCAGTGTCTCACCAGCCTCATAGCGAAGAGTTTCTTCCTAATATCTAATCTAAATCTACTCATGTTCAGTTTAAACCCATGCCCCTTTGTCATAGTTTAAGCCCAGCCGGTAACTCAGAACCACACAGCCGCTCGCTCACTCCCCCTTCTTCCCCCTGCACTGGCTCCCAGAGGGATGGGGAGGAGAACCAAAAGAACGTAACTCCCCCCGGTTGAGATAAGAACAGCCCAGTAACTAAGGTATAACACAAACCACTGCTGCCGCCACCAATAATGCTCCTTGTGCAATGTGGTGGCAAGACCCTGCTGGGCTGCTAAAGGCAGCTATCAACCAGAGCAAACATGCCACCATCCCAGGCTGTACCAGCCCACTTCAGGTTAGTAATGGCAAGCTGTCATGGTTTAAGCCCAGCTGTAAATCAGAACCATGCAGTCTCTGTCTCACTTCCCCAATTCCCCCCCAGACCCCTGCTCACAGAGGGATGGGGAGGAGAATCAAAAGAATATAACTCCCACAGGCTGAGATAAGAACAGCCCAGTAACTAAGGTATAACACAAATCACTATTGCTACCACCAATAATATTAATGATAAGGGAAATAACAAGGGGAGAGAATACAACCATTCACCACCTGCTGACGAATACCCAGCCCAACTGAGCAGTGATCTACCCCTTCCAGGTTACTGCCCCCAGTTTATATACTGGGCATGATGTGCTGAGGTACGGAATACCCCTTTGGTTAGTTTGCGTCAGGTGTTCTGTCTCTGCTTCCTCCCAGCTTGCCCTCCTCCCTGGCAGAGCATGAGACTCAGAAAGTCCTTGGTCAGAGTAAATATTACTGAGCAGGAACTAAAAACATCGGTGTTGTCAGCTTCGAAGGAGAAAAATGACTGCTACTGCTGAACCCAACACACCCCTTGTTCTGTCACATGCCCTTGTAGAAAGTCCCTCTCCAGCTTTCTTGTAGGCCCCCTTTAGGTACTGGAAGCTGCTCTAAGGTCTCCCAGAGCCTTCTTTTCTCCAGGTTGAACAACCCAAACTCTCTCACCCTGTCTCCATAGGAGAGGTGCTTCAGCCCTTGGGGCATCTTCATGGCCTCCTCTGGACTTCCTCCAACAGGTCCACATCCCTCTTGTGTTGGGGGCCCAAGCTGAATGCTGTAGTTGAGGTCTCATCAGAGCAGAGGGGGCAAATCACCTCTCTCAGTGTGCTAGTCATGCTTCCTTTGATGCAGCCCAGTATACAGTTGGCTTTCAGGCTTTTGCTTTACAGCTGTGCTATAGCAACAGTGCCAGTGAAAGAATTAAACTGCTTATTCTGCAAAGTATCTATGGTTTTAAGTCCTTTCCAGTACCAGTCAATGCTTTTTTCTCTTTGCAGTCAGCATCACTCTCCCCTTTCCACCCTCCACACACAGGTACACACATACCCCCCATCAAACACTCCAGAACTTGTAGAGAAAGGCGTAACAGAAGCAGCAGAAGGTAGTCTGAGTTCACATTCCATTAACAGCTCCAGCTCTTTTCTAATTTAAGTTAGAAGATTTCAACCCAGTTGTTCATCAGCCATGAGTTCAGAGCAATCATTGTAAATTTCAACGTATTTTGCAGAACACTATAGATATAGTGGAGAAGAACACACTATTCTTGCACACACACAAAGCAGTCATTTCTATATATATGTGGAAATGCCAACTCAAAGCCATTCCAAACTGACTATTATCACGCAGTTGCCCAGCCTTGTAACAAGGAACTATAAATGCCCTACACTTACTGGCAAAAAAAAGCAGTATTGTTAGGAGTTACTCAGAACCTATGCCTTCAGCAAAGATGAGAGACAAATGAGGGAACAGAATACTGACCTAGAAAGCCAGAAGTGGCATGGGGAAAAACAAAGAATAACCTCGCTCTTCCTTCCAATGAAAGATCAAGGAGGCACCAAATCAAACTCAGCAAATCAGAAGAAGCTACTTTTGCACGCATGCAACTGAGCTGGGGAATTCAGTGTCACATGAAGCTGTCGGTACTTCCATAACCCCCCAAAGTAACAAACTGAAGAAACTTCAATCTAAAGTTATTAAACACAGAGATAGCACC